CACTAAACCTAAAAGGAAAAAAATACATTTTCTCAAACAGACTACTTTTTGCTGCCTATTTAATCCACAACTGTGACCCAGAGTGAAGCCAGACACAGCCAGGCACCTAGCATTCTCAGAGGTTCAGTAATAGCAGCCCTTGTATTTCTCTCACGACAGGTTTACTTTAAAGGTGTGTCTTACTTTCCACAAATACAATAGTTTTTTTTTCTTTAATAACTAGTGCAGTACATCCATAAAGATTTTCATAAATGTAATATATGAACCATGATATTCCTGTACATGCTACATAATTTTACATATCCTGTACAGGAAACCTGTGAGGACAGACATTTGGAAACTGCCATTGTTGACTAGTTTTAAAAGCTGTAGACCTAGGTCTGTCATTCTGATTGTAATCTAACTACCTAGGGATTCTCTGATCTGGAACAAACATGAAGTCAGTGCAGTCCAAACTCCCATTTGGCATGACTATGCCAGTCTAGTCACTCGCTTGCTAGTGAAGCCAGGATCTGTATGACAACTCTAGAAGGCACTTTTTAAAACAAGTCAACAATGCAAGCCTCCATACTTGTCATCGTGGGCTCCCTTTAGTACTTTTTTAAAAATTACCAATTGACAGCTTGCTTGGCCTTCATTGATATATAATTAAAAAACAGACACCAGGATTGCCATTTCCATATTTAAGCGGTCACAAGCACAGTACTTTCCATTCACTGTATATTATTCACCTGTAACGTGAGCAAAGCAAATAGAAAAATACCTCTCTGTTCTGTCCGATATCTCAAATATACTAAACGCCATAGAAAATAAATCAATGAAAATACTATATGCATTCTATAACGACTTAATCAGGTCTGCCTTTTGTTTTTGGGTACACTTTTTGCAAGAAACTGTTTTAGTTAAATTTAGATATGTAGTGTAAAATTAGGCCAATGTCAAACTTCTTTGTGCTTCCAGTAAGCTGGCAATAGATGACTCGAATATGGGTGGATTCCTGCTGAATGGGCCAAAATTTGAGCCGTTGGTGGCTGTGCAATACTACGCGGCTCAACAAAAGTTGAACCAGGTCAACAGAATGGACTGAGCCAGGTGGAAAATGTTTGGCAAAACAGTGACTGCATGCTATCAGACAGTGACATTGTATTCAGGCAGCCATGGTTGCTGCAGCTGCTGAATACAATAGCTGGCAGTGGAGATTCCTCCTTCAATGCTGTTTAGCTTGGATGAGGGGTGGGCTAATTTCCTCTAGTCCAGCCTGCAGGAAAATCACTTCTGTGGCTAGCTTTAGACACAGTGCCAACACTGGTCTACTCCTTCCACGTACACAGGAAACCTATCTGGCTGTGAAGTAGCAACCACTAATACAGCCACTTCTTCAGATTACAAATAAAAAACTCCAAATCCATATGCCTGATATACAGCACAACTAAGTTTTTTTTTTTTTTGTCCTCACTGGGTAAAAAGTTATCCTGTTGTCCATAAAAGATTAGAGTAGCCAAGATAAAAAAAACAAAAAAAAACAAACTTGCACAATATGAAATATATTAAAGTCTGGGGGAAATTATTAACCTTTGCAGTGGGGCTACCCCCGCAATGGAAGGACCAAGTGTTCATTTGTGTCTAGTGAGGAAAATAAAAGTTATACTTACCTGATTCTCTGAGCCAGCTTGCTATTAGACCGGTCCCTAGAGACTCTCTTCCCCCTCCGCTGCAGAGGTCTAAGGCCCCATAAATCATCACATCCAATACACAGTGAGAGGAATTCATCAAAACTGAAGCAGACAAAATCTGGAGCAGCTGTGCATGATAACCAATCAGCTTTTATTTTTCCTTCTCAAATCTTAACTGAACAAACTGAAGAGGGAAGCTGACTGGTTGCCATGGGCAACTGCTCCACATTTTGTGTAGAACGTGAGGATGCCGAGGGACATTCCATTGCTGCAGTGCAGCAGAAGAAACGCTGGAGGGAGCGCTGTCGCAGTAAGCTGGCTCCACGGATCGGGCGAGTACAGCTTTGATATTTTCCCCCCTAGACCAAAACGAGCACTTAACCCTTGCACTGCGGGGGCAGCCCCACTGCATGAGTTAATAACAATTTCCCCTGGAGTTTGGCTATAAGGTTTAGTGCATTTGCTGTTGTGAGTTATAGCAGTACTTGATATTAGTACTTTTAATATCTTCAAGTCAGCTGTGACCAACTTCCTCTATTCCAGAGACAAAGAGGAAAAGTTCAGTATCAGTTATACAAGTTAAATATTAAACAAGGTTGTGTACAGTGAAATGTTTGTTGCCTATAACCCCCAAAATCACAGTTTTCTACAAGAGAGGGGAATTTATTAAAACTGGAGCAGACAGAATCTGGAGTAGCTGTGCACGATGGCACACATTACAGTATTGGTTTATGTTAAAAAATCTGAGGGTTTAATGTCACTTTAACCCCATGTAAGTACCAACATTATCAGATACCAAGCTTACACACTTAATATTCCTGGCTCTGACAGCTGAAAAAACATCTGTGTTGGGTGTGTGGTGAAAGGGAGGTTGATTAAGCTGAAGAATGACTACACTATGATGTAGTAATGGCAAAATCAAGTACAGAATTTAAAGGCGTTCACAGAATATATTATCCTGTTATAACATCAGCATTCTAATAGGATAACATACTAGATTTCTGTTTGATAATGCAAACAATGCTAACTTGGAAAAGTCCCTTTTATGTAACGAGTGCTGCCTTCCAATTTCCCATCACTATCAACAACTTCCTAGATTCCCAGTGTGCTTTGCTACTACATATCCCATCATGCATTGTTTCAAGCAAGCAATTACAGTGGTACCTCGGTTCACGAACTTAATTTGGTTGCGATTCTGGTTGCGAACCGAATCAAATTTTCCAATAAAGTTCAATATAAATAAGCTAAATCTGTTCTGAACCATATGAAAATTCATTACCGCTCTGCACTTTCTTTTTACCACCATGCTTGCTCTGCACTTTCTTTGGAGCCATGCTTGATTGAATAATACTGTACAGTACTGTATGTGCTAAAAAAGCACACAAAAAAGCTTCACAGCAAGTGTGCACAGGTCTGTCTTCAACCGCAATCTCGAGTACAGGTAGCCACAGCCACGTGTCAGAGCGGGGAATATGGCCGCGGTCGTGTTCATCACCAGATGCGGAGTTCGCGAACGGAAGCAAAATTTTGCCAAACAGAAGCGTTTGTGAACCGAGGTATTCCTGTATAATGTTACATTATTCAAAGGTTGAATTGTAGTTCAGAATTCAGGCTCTGTGATGAAGCTGAGCAAACTTGTGTCAGTACATTGAGGTACCTCCTATGGCCATCTTCTATAAGTATTTTCACAAACTTCTAGATCGATATGGTTATTAGCTGTGGGATAGAACTTATGGAAATTCAATACAGAAATACATATTTATTTATAAAAAAGATTGGGACAATTCTTTTTTTTTTTTTTACAACTAATGCCTTTCACACTAAAGGACAGCTTGTTAATATATTATAATCAAGGGAACCAACCCAACTGCCTTGTGGGTTTTTTCCCACATAAAGGCAATACTGGATACAGCTAGCTTGGGGGGCTTATGTTGCTTTCTTCTAGATCAAAACAACTTGAGGTTGTGAGGTGAATATTTGCCTTTTATTCACATAACTATATGCAAACAGTGCTTCCAAAAAAACAAAAAGCAGACTTGGTAAATATTGTTCTGTATTTCATCTGGAAAGCTGCTGGAAGGTACAATCTACTTTGCACCTCTTTAAAAGCAAGTTTAAATCGGTATATCGGTATATTCCTCCAAAAGGTGCAAGATGTGAAAAGCAGAAGGACAAAATCGAAATCTCTACAAATAGACGGCTGCACTGCACAGTTTGTTCCTAAACAACCTATGTACTGTATATTTAAGGCTGCATCATAGACAGATATTGGTGGACACTATAAATAACTTTGTCAATGCTATTACAGTATATCAACAAGCGTGAACTGCTATGCTAGCTACAGATCTATTCACACATTTCCAGTGGAGTATCAAACTTGCCATGTGTGGTGGCAGCTCATCGAGCTTCATTTCATTTAGCAAACTCAACTTGCAAAATGGAAACACAGTGTATTACTTACTATCAACAATTAGAAAAAAAAGACTTATTTGTATAAGAATAAATAAATACATAAATAAAAGGCATACAAAGAACTATGCTAAATAATTCTTCTTGTGTGGATAGGCCACTTGGGCACAAGGGAGTCGTATTTTCAATATGAGGAGTATTCTTTCAAATTAAAAACAGAAGATAAAAGTTAAATCAGAGTATCCATAAAAGACCAATCCACTCAAGTCTGATTTTGCAATTTTGGTACAATGCGCAAATAACCGCATGCTGCTAAAGCGCGTACAAACGCGCAAAAATGGTGCCGCCTAGGTGTGAACCAGTGTTTAGGGAACAAGATTTATTTTAATGTGCCCTTACGATTTGAAATGTGGATTTTATATGCATTAGAGAAGAACTCTGGGCCAAATCTGCATCAACCCTTGCAGTAGGGCTACTCCAGCATTGCAAGGTATAAGTATTCCTTCTGGTATAGGTGCAAAAAAAACAAAGTTATACCTGCCTGAACCTCACACCCAGCTGGTTATTACAGCATTCCCTCCAGCCCATCTCTTTCTCTGCTACACTGTGTATTGGACGTGATGACTCGGGAACCTCAGACCACTGCAGCAGAGGGGGAGAGAGGCTGGAAGGACAGGTCTAAGAGTCAGCTGGCTCCAAGGATTGGGTGAGTATAACTTTTTTTTATTTTAGCACCTAGACGAAAACGAGCACTTAACCCTTGCAGTGCAGGGGTAGCCCCACTGCAAGGGTTAAGAAAAGTTTAGTCCAGGGTTCTTTAAACCAATCTAAATCTGTAAATTTCCCAATGAACACAATATGGAGACTGGAGAACTACTCCTGACAAAAAGGAAGAAAAGATCTGCGTTTCTTATAAAATAAAATTAAAAAAATTGCTGCAGCATTCTATTCACTGAGTAAAACTCTTTTTGATGGACACGTTAGGAAATCGTGAGGTAAACTCCTGTACTACTCGGCTGTCAATCTGTGAACAGAAGGACACATCCAACAGTATAAGTTCTTTACAGCATTCCAGCAATTTTCGCAAGGCTGCAGGACTCACCATTCTAGTACCTAGAAAGAAATACACAAGAAATAAAGCTGTAAGCCAAGAACAGGTAGCTTTTTAATAAATTCCTCTTTGGGCCTATTTAGGTCCAGAGTTAAACATGCAAACCAGGGTTTAGTCTTTTACTTAGGAGAAGAATTTCAACACATGCCACATTTAATTGTAATGTAATTTGTATGTTAACAAAGGGCTGACACTTTAAAGTGATACAAGAGTTATCCTATTAAGCATTGTAATCCTCCCTATCCAGGTCCATCCATTGGTATAAAGCAGGTAGTCACTAAAAGGAGGATCACCGTCCAGAGACGGACCGGGCAGTGTTTTTTTCTGGACCGTAATCTCGCCCCTGTGCTGGGTTATGTCTGGCTGATGTGCTAGCCTTTAAAGACGGTGCATCCACTGCCATCTATAACCCAACACAGTCATTGGTTGCTAGGATGGCCAGTGGTCCTAGCAACCAGTGACACACTTGCCCTGCCTCCAGCATTACCTGAAGCCTGCTCCGTCTCCCTCTGCCAGCTGATATGTGGGGACAATGTAATGTAAAGGGGCAGAACCAAATAAGGGGACACTCTATTAGTTGTCCGCATCTGAGTGCCTTTTACATTATTTGCCCCCATTACAATGTAACTTACTCATGTAAGGGGGGCACTTTGATGAGGACAATTAATGCAAAGGGGCACACTGATGAGGACACCTAATGTAAGGGGGAACTCTGATGGGGAACACCAATGATTAGTTGCCCCTATTAAAGTGAAAAGGAATTATGAAAGGAAGGTGCACTCTGATGGGGACAGCCAATGTAAGGGGACACTCTGACGGGGACAACTAATTATTAGTCCTCATCAGTCACTTTGATGGAATGGAAAAAGGTAATCTGATGGGGACACCTAATGGTAGGGGGCATTCTGATTGGGATAACTAATGTAAGGGGGCACTGGGATGGGGACAACTAATGTAAGGGGGTGCTCTGATGGAAAACACTAATGTGGGGTGCTTTGATGGGAAACTTTCATGTAAGGGGGCGCTCTGATGGGGACAACTACTATAAGGGGTGCACTAATGGGGAGCACCAATATAAGGGGGTGCTCTGATGGGGAACACTAATGTAAGGGGGTGCTCTGATTGGGAACACTAATGAAAAGGGGTACTCTGATGGGGAACACTAATGTAAGGGTTATTGAAGGGACATGGGATTTGGAGCTCTCCTCAGAGAAAACCGGAGAAATACTCACCAGACCTCCTTGAACTTTAGTTCAGTACCCCTACCCAGCTCATGGATCTTTGCATTGGAACACTACAAAAAATTTTGCTTTAACAATTCAGATACCACCCAACAATAGGTTAGCCTTAAATCTGAACTCCATCCTTGCTTTTAATCTTGCACAGTTGTACAGGCTATAATACTGTACTGAAATGTATTAAATATGAGTATACTGCACACTGTGAACTTCTTGCAGAGTGAATTAAAAACTGCAGCAAGTCATATAGTGCCTGCCTTGTTTCCTGGCTGGAGAACATCTAGAATCATCCAAGCCTTCCTCCCCCAGCCTGACTGTCCATGGCCCACCCCTTTCATTCATTTCTTTAGTTCTTTCAATCATAGAGGCTCAGCATTACATGTGGGCATTACTGTAGGGAAGGCTGCATGCAAATGCAGTCTGCCTAGGAGATCCCACCACTCTAGACTTACATGAACTCATCTAGGCATTTTGATATTTGCATAACACATTCCAATAGCCAACACATTGCTTGCACCAGGGCTGAGTGCTCTTGATAGTAGTAATGAGGCAGGGTGTTGTGATTACTTAAGGAAGCTATGAATAACACCCTGCTGGTTCCTCCTGCTAACAATGACAGATGCCAGTGAGGACACTGGGTCTAAAATAAGACTAAAAAAAGGAAAGGCTTTATGTACAAATTTATTTTAAACCAGGAAAGGCACAATATAAGCAGATTAAACTCCACCTAAGATGTTTAAATTTGTAGCAATCTTGGTCCTGATCCGGGAAACAGCTGGGCCATATCACTGTAACCACAAGAGAATGACAGTTATTCTGCCACTGTGGCTCAGAGCTCTCTAGAAATAGACCTCTTTAACTACATTAGTGCCTAAATTCTACTTCCCGTAAAGAATGACTAACATCATTTAACTTCCCAGTGTCATGCCTACGGAAAGTCTGTAAAAGTCATGTGACTATATCACATAAACAAATTAAAATACACATAGTACATTAAAATACCCCTCTACAGCAATTCCTTCTCCTGGACAGTAACGTGTGAAACAGGTGGAAGGAACATGCTTTATCATGCCACCTGATTTTATGAGCCAATTATTTTATATGGTTTATATATGGAACTCACAATTGAATACACATATCAGGGTGCTTCTGCTGAAATATGTCTTATTTGTGACCTCTGACACACTCCCCTTTCTCTCTGATTTATTTTTTTGCTAAATACAAAATATATTCTAAAAAATTAAATTCTCTGAAAGAGGCAACAGGGGTTGAAAACAAAAAAAGCCTTGGTACATCACAAACTCCAACAGGTTGATCACACAGATTTCAAATACAGTAAATTTACTCAAAGTTCAAAAATGCAGCACTCCACAGAATAAAAGTCTTTATTCACAGAGCAAAACACACACTGTCCATAAATTCTCCTCGTGAATCCTCAACCCTCGAACATGTTTCACTTTTTGGCTTGGTCATAGACACCTGTAACTAAGTGATCTCTAAGACGAAGCCTAAATGGTGGAATGTGTTAGTGGTTGAGAATCGAGGAGGGAAATTTGTGGACAGTGTGTGAATAAAGACATTTTCCAGTTTTGAACTTTGATTGTTTGAAGGGAAAACATACTTGTTACCTGCACCTGGGACACAGACGGGGTGAGGAGCTGGTTTCATAATGTGAGCTGTGTTTTTTTTCTTTGCTTTACAGTACATTTACGATCACTCACCTAGTATATCTAGATACTGAAGGTGTTGACAATTTGCAGCTAGTTCTTCTATATCAGAGTCACAAACAGAGCGGTTGGCTGTAAGGAACAGCTTATGCAGACCTGGAAGTTTGTGGGCAAGATTAGTAAAGCATCCTGTACCACTATGCAGCGTAGGACACCATCCAAGATCAAGCTCTTCTAGAAGGGGACAACCAGCTGCCAGCTCTCCTAAGCCCTTTTCAGTAATATTTTTACATCTCCACAGGTCTAGAGAACGTAGCTTTTTGCATTTGGCACCAATAACAGAAGCTATAAGGTTATAATCTTCAATCTGTCAACAAAATGAAAATAAAATAGTGAGACTGATACAGTGGTTGTCATGAGCTGCTTAAAAGTATTGGAAACAAAAAGGAGATCAGCATCAATACTTATTTTATTCAGACCAGATGTCAAAGCCTACATTACTGTTGGAAGATCCTTGTACAAAAAAGCCAATAACATTTGTAGAAGTCCATCCTGTTTTAACATTATGTTAACTAAACTGCATAACTTTAGGGCAGACTAAAAGTGGTATCATTAAAGCTATGACGTGGTTAATAAAATTACCCATAGTTTGCTGGAGATGAAGTGTTAAAGTCCATTTCCACCTTTGTAAGTGATTGGCATTTATTGTGGTAATGAAGAGGTGCAGTGATGATGTGCACATTTTCGTGATTCACATTGCAGGCTTTTATCAATTTTTTCAAGAAGTTTCTATTAGCAAATTCAGTCTGACACTGGGGTCGGATTGTAAATCAGACTGTAAACAGCACTCCCCCTCCCTCTCCCTGTTATTCATTGTAACACGATCAGTAAACACCAGCTCTGCCTTTGCACACAATACACTGGGGGTTCAATACTAATAAATGGGAGAGCTCAGAAAGAGCTTGCAAAACACAGAGGCAGCTAACAAAAAAAAGCTAACGGAAAGCTAACAATAAAAGTTTGCGTGTTTATATACAGCAGCTGCATATGCCTGCTTCATGTAGACTTGGTGTACATTGCTGGCATATGTTTGTTTTTTTAATCTCAAACAGGCACAGTCGACAGCAAAAAAACAGTTAGGATTCCTGATAATTGGAGAGTACCGAAAAAAGATATCGGTACTCAAACTAGATACCTAAAAAACGCTATAGGTGCATCCTTAGTGGAAATATGTCAAGTGGAAGTGTGGGAGGGTATGACAACCATCAAATCAGTTCATCTTTGGACTCACAAATGGTGGTTACTGATCTTTCCATAAGGAGCAAGAAAATCATAAAAAATTTGAGAAAATTAAACTTGCCAACATCACTCCGCCATCTCTCAGGGCCCCAGTGTGAATACCTTTAGGCTGCTC